ATCAATAAAGTAACGTAGTTAAATAGAACAACACACTTTGAGAGGGTAGTGATATATGTGAATTAAAACCTACAAGGAAGTAAGAATGCGGTCATTGAAAGCGTAAATTTTCAAATATCGTTTTTGATAGTGAAGTTTTGATTGTAAAACCTTAGAAACTATTTTATTCAGTCTAATTTCCCTTTTCCGATCACGAAATATTCTCTTGCTTTACAAATCAGGGTAATCAAGAGCTCCAGAAAATTAGATAGGACTGAATTTACATAATTAATTTCAATTATGTTGAGGAGGCTTTAAGTAAAGGCCTATTTTCTGCAGGAACAGTGCACGACAAATAACAGTTCACTGTTTATTGTTACACATTATTCACAGACTTAGAACTCAACATCAACAAGCAAACATTTCAACTTGAAACGTAATCAAGAGCCTCCGTAAACGCTATTCTAGAAATTCTCCCTCCTCAAGAAACGTGGATATATGATGACTCTTATTATTCTTTCATATTTTTTATTTATGTCTTCAATTCTAATGTTTACTATATAGTGTCAAAGTTCATATAGGGATGACATTCATATCCAGTCGCTTACTATCACAGATAGAATTGAGAGAACATGTGCATTTATCAGATAGTTTTTAAAATACATATCTCAGAATTCACTGGTTTTAGTTAATCTTAGTCAACATTTATCAAGTGCCTATACTTATAGATGAAGATCATTCCAATATTAAGAGCATTCTACAAATTATCTAAGTTGTCTGATTGAAAAGTAAAAAGTATTCGGTTAAAGAAACTTTTAGTGAAGATAATATTATTTACTGAGTAGTAGTAGTATAAGGACTTGACACGCATGACATTGATCACCACCTAGTGATCAATCAATTATGATTTACTGAGTCGTTTTTATATTTTTCTCATTAGTCAAGCAAGGGATTTTTCTTCCTCGTTTTACATTCAAACTTTCATCATTTTTCTCATAATATCATAATATTTTTCGTAAAGACAATTAATACACATTTCAAATAAATAGGTTTATGGACATTTCTATGGTTTGTGAGCTTTTGTCTACTTGCTAACAAATGGACAAATACTTCTGATGAATGGCTTGGGCAACACAAAGTGGAAGGATGGCAAGAAAGTAATGCTCGTTCAGCGATTGTCTTCTCTTTTTTGTCCATTGCAATTTGGGTAGGTTTTATCTATTTATTTATAAAGTTGGATTTAAGTTACGGTTACTTTTTAGGGATATTCGAACAGTCATTTAGTTAAATGGGTCATAATACATTCTATTACTTGTTAAAAAAAATTGTTCTCGAAGTCGTTTTTTGCAAACTTTCTGCATAATTTTTGTCATTTTGCTATATTTCATAGTTCATAGCACAGATTGGTCTTAGACAACCATTGAAAATCAAGAAGCAGTGAACATATTTTTTGTCTTGTATCGAACATCTCAGGAGTTCACATTTACAAAACCACTGAGAGTTGCCTTGACTTTCAGGTCTTGTAGCAAGCTCTCAGCCATTGGATGCCGATTTACTGGTCTAAATGTTAAACCTACGCCACGAGATCTGGAGATTCCGAAGCTCTATTCTCGATAGAGTCTGGAATATGGACTCCTGAAGTATACCACTATAGGGTAAAACAGCTGTCCTTATTTTTAAATAATTATCTGACAATGATCGATCCGTGATATAAAGTATGAAATTTGATGATCCTCACACACCCACTGTGGTAATGCCTCGCAATATATTACCACTCATTCACCCATTAATAGTAAATAAATACTAGTCTAATATTAAAAGGAAATATTTCCAGTAAGATGCATGGAAATCAAACATTTTACCCGATTTAAATTATAAGGGAATTTACTGACGAAGGCCCCCAAATGCCCTGGTACGGTCGAGAGTGAGGAGAGTCCGCTCTCTCTCGAAATGCTCTCACATGGCCACGCGTATATGGCCTGTGACAGGGAAGTCTTGCTCACTGCATTCTCGTGGCGGGAGTGTTGTTTACGAAATTGAGAGGACGAAAAGCGAATGTCCGGCGCTATAGCCGGGTTGGTGAACACGAAAAGGGAGTTGGAAGACCGTGATTCTAAACCAATGGTGTACATGGACTCCAGTTTCCTGAGTGAACAAATGGCGTATGAATCTAGTGTTGGTCACCGGCTACCATGGGACTGCATCTTCTCACGATGCTCCACTGCCTTGTGGATCAGACCTTTAGGCCAAAGGCTCCGGGTGTGGCCCCCTAAGAAAACCACCTGCTTCAGTTTGGGCACCTGGACAGTATCACAGCCCCCACACAAATGAAATGAGATTTGTGTGGCGCATATATATCTGGTGCCCCTTTGTACCGATATTTATATGTTTAAGTAAATAGTATAGTAGTAAGTAGGACTAGTTTTTAAATATGGATAGAATAGCTTATACTAACTTTTAACATTTTAATCTTAATAATGTTGGACTTCATCATGAAATGCTTCTACTTTGACTGATATGTTCATTCTATAGAAAATAGTCAGGAAACATTTTTAAAAGAAGGAAATTTATAAACAAAGATCCTTAGAATATAAGAGCTTTAATTGATATCAATTAAAAACATGTTTAATTCTAATGATCAAAACAAAATTATATATATACAAGAACACTAGACTAGAAAGTGTTGAACCCATAATTTTAATAATAAACAATCAGTAAGATATGTGAGCATGGGGATTGAATTAAATATACTGAAACTTAAATCTAAACAACTGAATGCTACAACCAAAAAATATAGTTTAAATGGATGGTTCATGAATAACTTTTCCATAATTGGGTCATTTATAAAAATGAACAACCAAATATTATACAGAGTGAAATCCTTGTTCTATCTCATAACAGTATCATTTCAATTAAATAGTCTGATTAGTTAAAAGCTTCAATTTACCATCGAACACTGATTTCAATTGATTTACGTGATTATTCATCAAAATGCTCTCGTAGTATAGTTAGCGTTTTTTAACGAGTTGGTTTTCTAAAGGATGAGGTTGCTAACCCCATGCCCAACCCTCCTCCTTTACCCGGGCTTGGGACCGGCAGTAGCCGCCGGAAGAGCTACAGGCGGATTTATTATTTGACAAGAAATAAAGACAATTTAACAACAAGAATTTTACTCAACGAATTTCTTTTGTTGTTTGTTATCTGTCGATTTTAATTTCATATGAATTAAGGGTGGAATCACATTTTTCGCATTACAACGGTTTCGAATGGGTCAAGCTGGTCTCACTCCAGAAGAAGGACTAGGTGAGGCTGGTTCAACTATGGATCCAAATACTGGTGTTCCAGGTCAGCCATATCCTGGTATGATGTCTGATCCGATGAGTCAGCAGCAGCAACAACAACCTTATGGTGGGAATATTCAACAGCCACCTGTAGGTGGTGTCGGCAGTCAATATTATGGACCAACGTATTAACAGACTGAAGGGAGTCCTCATCTAGAAGAAATTTAACAGTAATTATACTATTCTTTGATCTCATTTCATTTTATGGTTTTAAGTTGAAACGTGGATGAATTTCGACTTCTTATGTGTAGTTCATGTCGTTATTGTTATTTATCATTCCATTGGTTATTATTATTATTCTGAGTTCTTTTTATAACATTGACTTGACTTCATTTTTCATTTATATATTGCTCTACTTTTTTTCACTACTGACAATGGGGTCAGGGATGGGAGGACGAGATCCAAACAATCGCAGAGACAAGTCTATATCGTTAGTTCCAACTATTGTTTCTCTTCCGTTCTGTCAAACATTCCATTAAACCTTGATACATTATCTTGTGAATTTATATTTAAGACATTTTTCGAACATATATGTACTTATATTACTTGTTTCAGTGATGTTGTCCTTTTTATGTTCAGTCGCTTTTAGTCGTATTTAGCATAATATTTGAATATATAAACAAATATGCATTTAAAAAAATGCATATCACCAACAATAAATAGATAAGACTTCTATCAAATTTTATGCTTCCTATCTTCAATAATGACGATAAACACGTTGGTCCCAGTGGTTGTTAACTTAGTTATTGATTATTTATATATATATATATATATTCAGTCAGTCGGGAGATAAGAGAGTTATCAGGAGGTGTAGGAAGGATCTGAATGTGACCAACTTGGTCTTGTGTGTTGTTACGCGTATGAGGGCTAATATAACTTCCCGGCTGCCCACACCGTGGAAGGGTATTTCTTGAGGGACCTGAAAAGGGAGTTGGATTAGTGTTGGTCTTAACGACCTAAGAGCGTGACCGCAGTGCCGAAGAGACAACTTGAGGCCGGTCACGCACGGCCTTTTTGTGGGGGATTTTTGACGTGTTAGCTCCGTTCTTCAAAGGACCTTACCGCCAGAGACGGAAATCCATGGGATAAGGCGAGGTGTGCATTTTATAGGGTCGATCTTTTCTAACCCCACCCCTCCTTGTGGGAAGGCAGCATCGCTGTTATGCTGGTTGTCTGAAGAAAACACCTTACTGCCGTCACACCTCTGTACAGTCGGCAGTACGACTTCGCCTTCGGACCTTGGGATTGCTGCTTTAATCTTAACGCTCTTCAACTGACCTATCTGGCATGTTATGACCTTAAGGAACGATTATTCCAGCCATAAAGCTCGATTGGTTCATCACGATAGGCAAGCCCGACCAGCAATGTTAACTATCCAGTTGCTTCTTGAGGTTCATGTTGCAAACAAAATATTTATATGGTCAGTCCAGTAATTAACTATTTAGCTATTCGAGTTAATTTATTACTTCATCCTCCTTTGCGCATAGTTGGACAAAGGGAAAATTTACTGACGATCTCTAACAACTCTTATAATGAACTTGAAAATCAAAACCAGCTTATAGCCAGTCAAAATGCGGGTGATATGATTGAGTCGTTAGTTATGTAATATCCCCCAGAAACTCAAGAATATAAAGTCGGAAATATAAATTTATATATATTAATAATTTATGTACCTAAATATTTGGCTCTGCCAATTTTAGCTTTCTGGTTGTTTCTCAGTTTTTTTCACTTTTATGGACAGTTGAGTAAAAAATATAAGAACTGGCGTTGGTCAATTATAATAGAAAGTTAGTGGTACTATCCTGTTATCCAATTTGAATTGGTGTTTGAATATGAAATCTATTGGTTTCATGATTGAGTACTGAAATTATTAAACTATCACTGAAAATTAATACACAGAACTATTTCAAATGTAACCACTTTTGAATCCAACTATTTAGATTTTCATGTAGCTTTTGGTAATACGTAAATATATATTGAACGAAAAACAAACAATGGTAGAACAAGATGAATACATTCTATTAACAAAAATGATACAAAACTGAAAGTTCCAAATAAAATGTTCACAAATCTATCTGTAAATATCCCATACAAGTAAACTACCTAGTGCTCCACCATTTGCTGGAACAGATGTAATTAAAAAATGAGATTGTTTTGTAAATGTACATGATCGAATTAATCTGGATTGTTGATCAATATTAGGTCCATGTGGTTTAGTTAATGTTGTAGAACTCCATTCACCAATTAAACTTCCTTCATTTAAACTACCTAGACTAGGAAGATAACCTAAGGATTTTATTTTAAGTTGATTATTTTTGAAATACACATCAATTAAATGTATTTGACCATCCCATTGACCAACTGCTAACAGACGACCATCATCACGCCATGTAAAACATGAAATACCAGTAGTACAATTATGAAGTGATTTATGAATTTTAGATAATTTAAAATAATTTGACATTTGAGGATCGAATTCCAACTGTACAAAAGCTATGTTTCCATCGAATGATGGATCTGTATCACAACTATCCACACTAGGTCCACCTAAAACAACGAATTTAACATTTGTTTCTATTCGATCAGTACTTTCCTTACATAATTGTTGTTTGAAAGCAGGTTGAATAGAAAGTGTCATAATGGGAATAGATTGACCCAAAGGATAATTGAGCACACTTAATACTCGACCATCACCTAGTAAAATTAAGTGCCCAGATTCGAAACCGGCCAAAAGAATGGAATGTATTTGGTTTATTGGATAAGTTTTTTCAATTCCTTTTAATGACATACACATGCCTAGATTTGTAATATTTTGACAAGAAGTTTGAATAGAATTAATTGATTGCTGACAAATAAATACAAATTGAGGCAGTTGGATTATTTCAATAGATGGTTCTGCATTAGATGTTGAAGAATTATTATTATTATTATCATCATCATCTCTTTCTTCTTGACACAAATGGGCCAAGAAATAAACATCCGTTGAATTGTTGCTATTACTATTACTTGTTGTAGTAAATGCACGCCATAAATCGGAATTGCAAAACGTAATATCGTATGTATGAATTTCACCAAAAACTGTAACACAATACAAAAAGAAAGCAAAACAAAACATATACAGCTTGAGGGGGGGGAGAAGAAATTATAAAAACTCACAACTTAGCGATAATGTACAACACTGGTGTGCGCTGTTAAGTCACAACAATGAATGGCGTCAAACATTATAACCAACAGTTAACATATGAGTGTGGAAACAATCAGATTATAATGTCATGTAAGGATTACACTCTATATATGTGATAAATGACGAAACCACTCGATTGTTCATCAAAAAGATGGAGTAACATGCACACATATTATTCGAAGCGTTTGTAAAAACGGATTATTACAAACGGTTAAATCTAAGATTCGCGTTTCATCCTATTTAAGACTGATCAGTCATGTGTACCTAGATCCCAGTGTGTTGATGTTTAAAATGAAACTAGAACCCAGTACTTTTCGTATCAAGGTGATTAATAAACAATCGAATCCCAATCTTCTAAGATTTGCTGAAGCTATATGGACCAAAAGTCTGAAACCAGTACTCAAAATAGTAAATCCCAGTTTGACAGATTCTAAACATGTAAAATGAGTTTATTCACAAACCAATTAACTTGAAAGTCGAAGAATAGATCTAGTTGAGAAACCAAAAGAAAAATTATTTAACATTATTCATTGAAAAAATAACATATATCTATATAGTTTAATGGTGGAAAAAACTGGTGAACGGTCGCTCAAAATCCTGGATTGGTTGAAGTTAGACATTAACACCGTTGGATGCTGGCTCGAGACTGGTAGGTCCTGGATTCGAATCTCGCGAGTGCGGGATCGTGGATGCGCACTGCCAAGAAGGAGTCGCACAACAGGACGAAACGGCCGTCAAACAGTGCTTCCAGGTTTTCCATGGTGGTCTAGCTTCAATTTACTCATGATTTCAACTGTGAAAAACTGAAGAAGAACAGTAATTAAATTACTCACTTTGATCAAGAGGTTTAAACACCTCAGTTGTATCAAATTTTAAAGTGTTTAAACCCCAGAAACGAATAAAGCCATCACGACCATGGGATATTATCACACCATTATTGTCATTATGATTTCGAGGCCAAAAATGTAAACTTGTAATTTGATATCCATTATGCCCAATCCACTGACGTAAAGGACGATATTTTTTAATTGACCAAATAATTAACCAGCCATTCAAGTGACCAGATATTAAATACTGATCAGATATTGATAAAATATATGTACATGGACCAATAGAATATGAAGTGATAGAATTATTATTATTTATATTAGAAGTTGGCTGGGCAGGTATCAGTATATGAGCTGGTTCCTAATTACAATAGAGAAATAAGAAATAAACATAAGAACGTTAACGGATATAGTAGCACATTATTTGAGCTTTATTCAGGTGTTTCTTCTATCATATACAGTATTCAGGATAGTGACAATGAAATTGGAAATGGAGTCTAAGTTTAAGAGATCATTTAAAAGACAGTAGTCGAATGATATGAGATTCCGTGTAATTCACTTTTTCTAGATTCTACAGTTTATATCCATAAATGATTTAGGATAAATGTCTTTTCTTAATTAATAGCAGTTAGACATTAGAGTTCGTTAGCTGACAATTTTCTTTCTTTATTAATACATGAAGAAGAACCAATCTGACGGATGTTATTTATTGTATATAACCAGCTAAATAGCATCACGATTACAAAATGAGATAAATATATTAGCTAAGTATTTCAAATAAATGAGAAGTTAAGTGGACACTTTAGTCTACTAGCAAGTTTACCATTTTCAGTGGATTTCATTATATTAATGGACTTATATAAATAAAGGAAGTAACAATCACTAATATCATTGCAAACGTAGATAGTACAAGATAATGAGTGTTGACAAGAGGTATAATAAGCGTATGTTTTAAAGGTTTATTTTAGAAGATTAGAGTCATAAAGACATTGATCATAACTAAGAGATGTACTGAATCCAGTAACATTTTAAAATCAACTTAGATTTATTAGCTGGTTGATATAGGTAGGTGAAACACTGAAGTTAATGATCATCAGTGGGCCCAATATTGTTATTCATTCCCTGGATAAGATGCGAATATTTCTAAATGGTTAATCACTGGTGGTGGAGATAGTTGAAGGTATTCGAAAGAAAACCTTGACTATAAAATCTCAACATAGTGCTTTCGAGTCACTCAGGTTAGTAGCCGCATCGCAACTTGACCAATAAAATTAGGTCAGCATTAAAAATGTCGAGACAAACATGATATTGATCACTACTCAGTGATTAGTCAGTAGTAAATATATCAGTCCAACAGCAAGTCAGTCGCAACTTGAATACTTAACTAGCAAAATATCGGGACGTGAACGTGGGTGACTTGGGTCAAAAAACTTCATGGATCATCAATTTCCTTAAGATTGCAGGTACACATTACCGACGACTACCGACTGGCAAGAAACCTAAATTAATAGTCCACTTCCAACTACCTCCAGCCACTGCCTATTTTTAACTCTTATTGGATCGAGGTGAGACTTTGTTTTCAAGATAATTGGTGAATCGACATCCAAAAGTTAAGCTCCAGGCTGATCTGAGACATGTGAAGTACAAATGTTTTAAAGGATACTTTAAATAAACCTGTTGTTTAACTTTTGTTATCAACATTCGTTTACTAGACATTAATAATCTGATGTTGTCAGTATATAAACTCTTCAAAACATGTAGTCAGATTTTTAAAATAGAAAAGTATAAATAATTGATTATTAAGACTATCTATGAATAGCCCAAACAGTGGAGTTCAACCATGACGGGGATGGGGTGGTTATCAACCAATTCTAAAATGGTTGAGAAATATCGAGAACCGATTGAAGTTAAACAAATAAATCACTGGATAACAACCCAATATTTTAAAGGTTAAGCACTTGTCGAGAGATGTTAAGTCCACGGGTTCAATCCAAAGTATGGTCATGGACACACCCATAATAGGGCGAAAGATACCCGCTCAGTGTTCCCTTGTTTTCGGTGACTGTGTAACTAAAGCCAGTACGTGATATTAACCATGAAATCTCCATAAATCCCTGACAATAATAACCATTTGTATCTGTTACCCGATGCGTTGTAACAAGTTAATAAAAAAAATAGTGACACCAATGAAAACTATTAACTGAACGGTGGTTATTGATTTTAAAAGTAACCAATCTATAGTAATTAGAAAAGATGAGAATTTTGAATTGTTCACTTAACAAGGAAAAAATCCTTCTTGTTTCAACCTCAAATTTGTCAAAACAAACACGTACACACGAGACCGGAAAAATAGGTTAAAGGGGCTTGACTTCAAAGTAGAGAAAAGAATCCTCCCCCTCAGTAAATCTTCAGGTGAAATGTCATATCTTTTAACCCTCTAATTTATTCTTTCGATACAAAGTAAGTCCTAATTTAATTTGTCACCTTCAATGAAAACTTCGGCTTAACAACAAAATTCATTAAAGATTGATAATGATGTAATAGGACTGCAACTGATCAGTCTCAGCATATGTGCATACTGTACGTATTGCCTCGATATAGCTTAAATTCACAAACATGATAAGCAAAGATGGATAGTGGCTAGCAGTGGAATCCAGGACGCGCGTTCCGTCCTATTTGGGATTAGTCAACTGAATGTACTTGCAACTGAGAGTTGATGTTCACTCTGGGACCCGAACCCAATACCTTTCGCTTCAAACGCCATCGTGTTATCCACTCGGCCACTTGAACGTGTGAAGAAAATTATCTTTTTTTAATGTTGAATAAAAGTGTGATATCTGGTATTCTTCTTTTCGTATAGTGTGTCAGTGCTCCATGTAAGAGTGTAAATTTCATTTAAATCATTTATAGCTATCTATATGTCTTATATAAACACGTTACTGCAGCACGTCTCAATTTATCTGATGAAAAAAGGAAATACAGTGCAGACATGTTGAATATTAAAAGGAAGATGCGCTACGAATCCATGAATACGTGTCTTATCTCAATTATATTGATAATTTTAAGTTAAAGGAAGAATCAAAAAGTATGTTGATGAAATATGTTCGGGATGTTTACCCTACGAAACACATCGCATGATTTCAGTTTTTTTTCTATGAATGTTCTGTAGACATACAGATATTACACTGTATAAATAAATGGCATGTGAAGTGGCAAACTCAAAATAAGGCTTTTGTATTACTCCTGAAATCGATCTAAATATTTACAACTTTTTGGTGTTTTTAGTTAGCAATATTGTGTAACATGCATTCCATAACGTAATGAGCTAATACATATTATATATATATACATATATATCATGATTTGGAAAATAAATGGTGGCGAATAAAACAAAATATAACATCATTATATGCCACATAACCGAATTCGGAGCATGTAATTTCATAGCCCACTAAGTTCTTACTTTTTATTGTGGTAATCACAACACTTTCCCAACACACAGCAACTTGTAGAATCGACAAAGAATGGTTGGAAAAACCTTATTATATGACGGACGTAATATAATCATCATCAAGATGACATGGTTTGTATGAACAAAATAAGAAAATAATACCACAGTAAACTATTTACCTTAAAAAGGTGACCAAAATGTTTTGGTACTGCCGAGGGTGGGAAGAGTTAGCTCTCCCTCTCGAAACGCTCTCATATGACCACACGTATATAGCCACTAACAGGGAAGTCCTACTCACTGCCTCCTCGTAGCTGCAGTGTTGTTTATGAAATTGAGAGGACGAAAAGCGAATGTCCGGCGCTCTAACCGCGTTGGTGGGTATGGCGGATCTATCTAGGGGAGTTGGAAAACCCTAATTCCAAACCAATAGTGTACATGGGGAACAAATGGCGTATGAACCAATTATTGGTCGCCGGTTACCATGGGACTGCACCTAACGTTGCTCTACCGTCTTATGGATTAGACTTCTAAGTCAAATGTTCCGGTTGTGGCCTCCTGAGAAAACCACCTGCTTCGGTTTGGGCACCCGAGCAGTATGATAGCCCGCACACAAATCAATTGACTTGTGTGGCCCATATGTATTCGGTACCCCTTGGTACCAAGTAAATAATAAATGAATAAAAACACAAGTATAATTATTAGTAGAATCATTAAAAAAAACAAATATGTATGATGTCCTTCAACATGATAACTACGTTACCGAGTCCACTGATGAGGAGTTCGCTTCAGGCCAATAAGACAAATGGTAATTACTTAATCAAAAACACAGATGGCCACTAACTAGGAATGGATAGCCTGACATTTATTGGTCCATGCAGCTCCTTCTATCACAGGTAGTTAATAAGAAAACGAAAGGAGCCAGCCCATTCGTTTCCTTGTTCTGACTTAAAAAATCTTATAAAAAACTAAATCAATTATAAAATCACAACGCATCATAAATAGATCACAATCTGTACATATCTAGATCACCTACGATTAAAAAAATGCTAGGTGATCGGTGCTTAGTTAATCATTACCGATAACTTAGGAACAGTAGAATATCGAGAAATAACTAATGACTTAACTATGAATAATGTATTTGTAAAATCTCATCGAATGAATTTGAAGTAAATCCAACGTTTCGATTGGCAATCTGGTCCAAGCTTTTTCAAGGAATTATAATCAAACATCAAAATTATCGAATATAAATAGGTACATGGTTCTCCGCTTTTAACGCTGATTGGATGACCTATTTAGTATACAATGAACCAAAGAACCATGTACCCATTTATATTCGATAACTTTGATTATATTTCCTTGAAAAAGCTTGGATCAGATTACCAGGCGAAACTTTGAATTTACTTCAAATTCATTCGCGGAGATTTGACAAATATATTATTCCTATTACATTCATACATCAGCTCGGCGCTCAAATACTGTGAAACTATTCGCTCTAATTCAGACGAAAGTTCTTATATAAACTAATGACTTAAATGAAAGCTTACAATTATGGCAATCCATAATAACTGTAAAACAAATACTTAATGAATGAACAATATATACATAATAATCTCCTGTACCATAGTTCGATAATTACTATCTTTTCAAGCATATCTAAAACCATATCACAAAATTTAAAACATAGTTTCTTACTAACGATCCAGTTTGTTTTGTCTCTTCTGATAAGAAAAAAAAATCCACAAGTGGCTGGCCGAAAGACCAGTTACATAATATGTTATTGATTGGCTAAAGAAAGTATTGCCTAGCCTTATAATCTTGTGAAATTATAAATATCTCTTCAATTTTAAGAAAATATTTTTTTTAAAATTAAAAAAGGTAACATATAACAGTAATAATACATAATTACAACGAAATAAAAAAAAGAAGAAAACTATAATTTCAAAATATAATGGATATTTTTATTTGAAATTGTTGTCAAGGGAACAGAACGAGGGAAAGTACATATTCAAAAATTATCCTAATCATTTATCACAGAGAAATGAATAATAAAACAACAAAGAATATAACATGAAATTATTATTAACTCATTAATCAGATGTAAATTCACATTATTTGAGTTTTAACTATACTTTTGTAGTGAATGAAAAATGAATGGAGATAATTGAATGTATTTAAGAACAAATTACAGACTATCTCACTCAATTGTGATAATCATCTATTAGACAATAAATTTGCAAAATAACAATCAATTGTCTCAATTTTAACTGTTCCTTCTGTAAATATCAAACTATGTTCTTTGATTTCATTGTTCATGCATTTTCATATCGATTAAGCTTCATTTATGTTCTTCTCTTATCGATTTTCTGCCAAAATACATTCTATGTCTGATCATCATCATACACTACTTGTGTGGATATAAGTAGACCAAATTATACTCTAAGTATTATGATTAGTAATGATACAACTAACAGGTTTGTCAAACTGAAGTACATAGAGTAAGGTTCGAACCCGTGACGTATTAGTTAAATGTTGAATCCCTTAACTATTGGTACACTACTTCAAAATATAACGGATTTACTTGAATATTATTATACATGGAATGAAAAAAGTGGCAAGTTTTACTTAGGTTGAGGTTAGTCATAATAATAATAAGAGATTATTCTATTCAGTAATAATAATGATAATAATAATAATAACAATAATAGTATTCAAAAGGTTAGTCATAAACAGATGGTTGGAAACAATGAGCTTTCATTACAATTTAGTTGTTTTGTATTTCAATATATATATGGGAGAGAATATGTTTCTTTTTAAAATTTTCCATCACATAATAATGATGTTTGCAATTTCTTTGAGTTCGTTGAGAGTTCTTCTTTTACCGAACATCCTTTTTACCGAATGAAAATCCTGATTTACCTAAGAGAAAAAAATAAGAAGAGGAATGAAAACATAAGATTAGTAACTAATTAATGTAGAGTAGGGTAGGAGTATTTCACTAAATAAATCACTGATGACTTCGAGTAGAAGTCATCGACCAAACTATCCAGCTCACAGAACAAACCTACATTAAAATCACTGATGACAAATGAAAAACATTTCTCCAACTAAATTTCATATTGAGATCATAAATAGATTACAGTTACACAACTAATGAAAACCTGGAAACACTGGATAATCGTTTCATGTTAGTATGATATTCTTCAATAATGTGCATCTACGATTCTGAAACCTAGAACCTTCGTACACTTAAACAATTGGGTGGAAATAGAAAGTGTCTGACTTTCACTATTTTCGGTGTGTAACTTCCTCAAACATGACACGGTTTATTGGTCAAAGATGCTCACTACAACTCTGTAAATGTTTCCTCATAGTTAGTCATTAGTGAGCGCAATCTCCAAAACCTCATACTGATGGTTATTATTGGCTCACGAATGTTCTGGGAGCTGATCGACTTCATAAATCCAAGATTTTACTATGAGTGAAAACATTAAAATACAGTCAGTTGTAAACAACGCAAGTTTGTGGATCCAAGTTGTTATATTACATCTGCACAACCAAATTAAACTAACAAATTTAATGGTAAAAGATATCGGAGCAATATAGAAGCAATCATAAAAAGGACTAAACATTGGTATATGGTTTGAAAAAATGTAATGGAAAGGTATACATGAAGGACTAATGCGATTCAAGTTCTAGAGAAAGATAAAAATTGAATATCGCTGCTCGATTGTGAAAAATTCTGAGCCATTTCACCCGTCTCCAATCCACTGATTACGGTTGTCACGTGAATCCCAACCAGGTAGTCTGTATCTACAACCATGTCTAAGATCGACAGTTAGTAAATTCATGAACTGATTGTGTCTTAGTTTGGTTGCCCCTGGCTTTATTTCAATGTATTCCTACACAAGTAAACATTACCTATCAAGGAAAGAGATGAAACAAGTTCTAACTATATCAGTCGGTGGAAATTGAACACAAATTACTACTCTGTTATTATTTGAAAATGGTGATGGAATGATTGGAATTCATTATCACTGGGCATACTACTGAAGGTCTCTTTAGATGAATCCATGTTCAATTTGTAATAAAACGCTTTTTCATATTTACGAGTATTTCATTGTGATTCCTTCAATTACAGTGAAGATCAGAAAATTGCTTATCTGAATGATGTTTTGTTTATGTGATCACTCTTTAAATTAAAAACTACTGAAACTAATTTAAACAAAAAATTCTAAGTTCTAGTACATACTTATTTAAACAAATAAATATTGGTAGAAAGTGGCACCGAATACATATGAGCTGCACAAATCTCATTAGATTTGTGTGAGGGCTGTGATACTGATAGGGTGCCAAAACTGAAGCAGGTGGTTTTCTTAGGAGGCCACAACCGGAGCCTTTGACATAAAGGTCTGATTCACAAGGCAGTGGAGCATCGTAAGGAGATGCAGTCCCATGGTAGCCGGTGACCAACGATTGATTCATACGCCATTTATTCCCTTTAGGACCGTCCGTGTCCACCAACCCAGGTAAAGCGCCGGACATTCGCTTTTCGTCCTCTCAATTTCGTAAACACCCCCGCCATGAGAGGGCAGTGAGTAGTACTTCCCTGGCAGAGGCTATATATTCGCGTGGCCATGTGAGAGCATTTGGAGAGGGAGAGCGGACTCTCCCCACTTTCGGCCGTACCAGGGCTGTAGTTTGCCCGAAAGTAACAACAAGGAAATAAATGCAAAGCTGAAATTTACACTTTTCCATGTGGTTATCAATAATTATTATTGACACTATTCAAGTAAAATTTACATTTATCGTCACAAATATACCACAGATCCAAGATACAACGATATCAAATATAATTATCGCACAAAGAATTATGTGAGTTTTAAAAAGAACGTTGAAAAAATAACAATAAAAGGCTTCAGATGCAAAAAAAGATTGACAAAAAATCACTATTTAAAACTTCTACATTGTAAATGGATTCAGAACGAGATAATTAGAATGGTTAGAACTGAATGGACTTAAATGTCATCTCATTCTTTTCACTACGAAAGTATGGGGTTAAAAAAACAGCTCTAAAAATACTACAACTCATCTTGGCCTATTGATTTTCATCTTTAAAGATGAGGTCTTAAAAGTGCTGAATTAGCACATCAGCAATCACTCACGAATATACCGTAAGTCACCGGCTTCAAACAGTTGTCTTAATGACTATATGGTCATGAACCCAAGTTGTCAAGACTATCCTTTACTCAATTTTTCTTCAGACACCTCAGGAAGTATTCATCAACGATTTGGGCAATCAGGAAGTGACGACCTCCCTGATATCTTTAACATCACTCAAGATCATTTCATTCATAATCATCATTTTTTTAAAACGAAAAAAAAGCAACAGAACAATGCACTTCAACATGTGAAACAAAAAACACAACAGCGCACGACACAGCAAGAACAAATGCAAAACTTTTAGCCTTATGTAACGGAGCATAAAAAGTAAAATAAAGATTATTTCATAGTACACATATGCGTAAGTTTAATCACCTTATGTATGAAAATAATCATTGGAAAAAAGAAAAACGTTCTCAGTGTCTATATAAACACTAAAGGACACATATCGGGAACAAAACAGTCGTCATCAGTAGGATCTGATTATCATTACGCTATATCTCAAATTAGTTGACGTTGAAATTGTACCAATGAACAACAATGCAGTGGTTCTAATGGTTGAGAGTTTCTTATAACACCTAAAGATGTTAGATTCAACCCCTAGTGGGGTCAAGAGTGTGGATTGTTGAGTAGTTTTAAACTAGAAGAACCAGTTGTCCAATACTCTCTGGTTAGCGATGGTACCCCAAAGTGAAATTGACCTGTGATAAATACAACCTATACATAATAATACTTATGATTCCAATGTTCATTAAAATTTGTAATTTCATAGTGAAGTACAATATAAATGTGGATTTATTTTAGAAAATGTAAAATACGTTACCTAACAGTTGCTTTACCTTCGATTTAAGGCTTTTAGTCGTCCCTTATCGTACTGCAGATGATATAAATAGAAAATGTAAATTCTGAAAGTATGATACGACATATTGTAATTTTCTTCTTTAATGTAACAACACTTGCAAGCATAATAGATAACATTTTGATGATAATTAATGTGATGAGTGGACTGAAAGATAATATTAATGCTATTTCTCTTATATAAAAAGAATCCATTTTTTATTTATACATTCAGTCAAATAGACAAGTGTAAGTCTAGTTGTGCCCAATTTTGTTGGAGGCTTTATGCGACCAATGCACACCGTTTGCGGACCAGAAGCCCAATGATTAAGGCTCTTTACTTTCAACAGATCAGCCGAAGGCTTGAACAGTCAAGCTACACAGTTTCGAGACCCGTTCCACCTGCCTCAGTTTGGGCAGTTGAGTAGTATCACAAGCCTTTATAACACTTAAACTGTGACTTGAAACTAGGTGTACGAATTTGTACCTGTCAAATGAGTTGAGATTAATGACTTAAGCACTTGCTTTTGAAATACACATTTGTTGAAAATTTAAAAACCAGCTCCATCTACATATCAGGTAACCGAGTAGTACCACAGTATGTAGGCGAAATTGACATAGTGAAATAGTAAAGAGACAAGTGGTAGCCAAATTATTAGTTTTCTCATGAAAACTACTTTGAAATCCTAAGCAAACAAAGTCTACAAAACAGAACTATTAGCCTACTGAGAGTAAGATTATGTAATAACAACAAGGTTAATTAGTGATCATCACAATACACATCTCCAGAACTCATGCAACAGATGTTGAATAAAGGATAATAAATATATGGACCAGTATGAAGCTAATGAATTACAAAATATTATCTGGTACAGGTGACAAAATGTTTGTAAATAAATATCAATTCTCATCGAACTAACTAGTTAGTAATTGATGTGCAGAAATCAATTGTGAGTCAATAGCTGGCTACATAAAGTATTCTAAATAAAAATTAGATAATGAGATCTGAGAAATTATACCTTTACTACAGTTGTTTATGGAAAAATAACCACTACGTTTACAAGACTGAATGATCGTAAGATTAGTGTCGTAAATGTTTCACCATCAGAAAAATTTATAATGATTTATTTTTAGCTTTATAATTCCAATTCTTACATTTTCTCATCGAAGCTATGTGATGTAAGTAAACACTGTTACCTCCCAATCTCAATCATTATTGATTCTCAGTTGTTAATTAGTCTCGATTTTATTGTTGTATTTTCAACAGATTCATATAGTAATGAAATTTTCTATCACTACAGCTAGCCAAAACTTTCCTGAAAACCTGTTTTCCTCCTATTTATGACGTTCCGTGTTACTCAACAACTGAAGTGTTAATAGATTGCATTTTCATCAAGCCCTTGACTTGCATACTAGGCTTGTAACAATAATACAACAAACGCTTAATTCTTATCTTATCATGTGTGGAGTCCAATAATTGTTTACTATTAAAATGAACTACGATATCAGATACACAAATTTACAACAATGCTTGTGAATTAAGGTTATATCGAGGCAATACGCACAGTATGCACATATGCCAATAAAAGAAAGACTGACCGGTTGCAGTCCTAAAAACATCGATGGGAAGATCCAAACAAACAATACTAAATGAATTTCTATTCAATAAATTACTACAAGTACTAAAACGATGATTTGTCGATTTAAATATATTGATTCGCTTGTACCCAACCTCTCACTGCAACTTAAAGATGAATCGAGTGGCGATGAAATGACATCATTATCCTTAAAACACAAATAATCGCAGTTTGTACCCTCCCCTAGTATGAAAGAGATAAAGAAAACATTTCAATGTTTAGAAAAATGATGGATAGAATTACAAACATTGATTTGTTGAAAAATTCAGTGGAGCATTTGGG